GGCGGGGAGGGAGCTGGTAGTAGCCGGAGGGGAGGGAGGGCAGAGGCGCGGGGTGGAGTCTGCAAACTTTCGCTTCGAGGGCATTGTGGGAAGCAGCCATGGTCTGAGGCCGGCACCTCACCTGTCAGCCGCGCCGGCTCCTTCTCTCGCCTCTCGCCCTCGAGTCCACCGCGCTCGTCTCTCGCCCGCGGGCACGGCGGCGGCGGCCCGGCCACCATGGTTAGTGCTGGAGAGCGGGGCGGCGGCGCGGACCAGGGCAGACGTGTGTGTGCGCGCTCCCGGGAGGCACCTGCTGCGCCGAGCCGGGCGCGCGGCCGGGTGGGCGAGTAGCCCCGTCCCGCCCCGCCGGTCCCCCAGCCCCTCGACCCGTCCGCGCCTGTAGTCCCGGCGCCCGGACGGTGCGGATGCGCCCGGGGCGCTAGGGACGCCAGCTTGGGACTCTCGGGCACTGCCGCTTCATTCATTCCACTGTTTGCTGAGCGCTTAGTCTGCCAGGCGCGGTGCCAGGCGGTTGGAGATGTCGCGGGGACGAGGTGGAGTCCTTGCTATTGGCGGCTTACCTTCTAGGAGGACGATGTGCAAGGAGGGAGATGAGTAATATACCAGTAAAATGAAGATAACTTCCGAGAGTAAGTGCTCTAAAGTCTCAAGTACAACCGGATGGAGGGATGGAGAGGCGGCAGCTGCAGAGCTGGCAGGCAGTGAAGTCCTCCTTGAGGAGGTCACCTCTGAGCTGTTGGAAGTCCTAGGGGAGCTCTGCAGGTAGTGGGAGCAGAGAGAGCAAAGGCCAGAGAGAAGGAACCCTTGCTTGTAGGGAGAAAGGTAGGCAGGGGCCAGACAAGGCAGGTCCTAATAAACCAAGTTAAGGAGTTTGGATTTTATTTCCACTGAGTGGGGGAGCCTTGGGAGCGGTTTAAGTGTGAGAACTGACTTCATCCCTTCTATACTTTTAAAAGATCGCTTTGGCTGTTGGTGGAGAGTAGCCTGGGGTACGTGTGTGAGGAGTTGTGGAAGTGGAGACAGGGAGACCAGTTTGCAGTGCTCCAGGTGAGAGATCCTGGTTGCCTGCACTTGGATGGAAGCAATAGCTTCAGGCACCTCTTGTTCTTGCCTTCTGTTTAGGGTAGTGTTTTGAGAGTGCAGTGGCCTGAACTGCACGAGTTCCACTTCCCCAGCTGAGCTCACTTCCCAATCGGAGGAGGAACAGAAGCGACCTGCACTCTGGGCTTGAGTACCCTCCACAGGCTGGAGGAGGAGGGCCATGTGGGTTACGAAAGTTGATGGACAAGGAGAGAAGTTGAGTGATGAGCCCCTGGACGGGAAGACCACAGATGCTTTCCAAGGAGAGGTTTGGCTGCACAGACTGGAGGCGCCATTGTTGTTTGTTGAGGGTTCCTTGTAAATATAGCATGATGAAAAAAGGAGGCTGTAAATAATGGAGCAGCTCTCCTGGCTTGCTCAGGTTTCCCAAGGAAGAAGGTGACATGTGTGCAGCCTGCCACAGTTTTTGCCTAATGGAGGGTGGAGTAAGGCCCTGGAGTTTCTGAGTAGCAAAAATCTTCCATCCCAAGAACTTGTGTAGGGTCCATGCTCTGGACAGCACCTGCAGTGGAATTTTATGTTTTCTTGCTGGTGTCAAATGATGAGTTGACCAGAAATGTGTAGTTTCCCTGGCTTTTCTACTAGATCTAGCCCAATGGGAAATATTGATGTTATTGAGTGCCTGTGATAGGAGGATGCTCAACGCTTTACCTTCATGATCTCAGTCAGTTCTTGCAACAAACAACCAAGTGAGGGTATCATGCTCTTTGTATTTTACCTACTCTGACCTGTCCCAGCAATGTGTCCTTGGACCATGACTTGACCTCTCTATGCCAGTTTGCTCATTTGTAAAATGGAGATAATAACTGTTCCCAACTCATAAGGCAGTGGTTCTCAAAGTGTGGGCTGGGTACACTTAGGAGTCCCCAAGACATTTTTTTTTTTTTTTTTGGTATGCGGGCCTCTCACTGCTGTGGCCTCTCCCATTGCGGAGCACAGACTCTGGACACGCAGGCTCAGCGGCCATGGCTCATGGGCCCAGCTGCTCCGCGGCATGTGGGATCCTCCCGGACTGGGGCACGAACCCGTGTCCCCTGCATCGGCAGGCGGACTCTCAGCCACTGCACCACCAGGGAAGCCCCCCAAGACTTTTTAGAGGTCCACAAGGCCAAAACGATTTTCATAATAGCATAGAGATATTATTTCCCCTTTACACATTCATTCCTACATGACTGTACATGAAGTTTTCTCAAGGCTAACGTGACCTGTGAGAGTGCAACAGAGTGAATGCAAAAGTGGTAGCAGAGTCCAGCTGTCTTCTATTGAGCCAGACATTGAGGAAATTTGCTGAAAAGTAAAACAGTGCCACTCTTCTCACTAATTTTTTTTTCCTTTGAAAATATTGTTACTGTTCATCAAAAGTTGTTTCTGATAATGTGTAATAGGTTGATTATAATTTTTAAGTGAATCAACAAGTATCTAAAATGTTTCTCTATTTAAATTTACAATACCATACAGTAAATTCACCTTCCCAAGCTGAACTGTGAAGTTATTTCTTTATCTGAATTTATGTTAGAAACAGCATGAATGCTTCCTTTTCCTAAATAGGGTAATTCCAAGTTTCCCATGTTCATCATAATCTCACTGTATTACAGAGAAACAGGAACAGTGAGAGAAGCCAAGAGGGTGAGGGTGGAGATATCTAACTCTGAACCTGGAGATCCTGCTGTGAACCCCTCTCCAGCACCCAGTATATCAGTTTTATTGTCTGACGCTTAAGTAAATTGTGATTAGTATGTGTTGTTATTTTGGTCATTTAAATTCCAGCTTGAGTGAGGAAGCCTATTATGGCAGCGGTAGCGAGCGCTGTCCTCCACTGAGACGTGGTCTGGGCTGCTGGCCAGCACTTACTGTGGGGTTGAGGGGTTGGGAAGAGACCCTCTGCGGTGTTCAGTTCTCCCAAGAGGGTTCACCCACAACAGACCCTTCCCACAGGCCTCCCAACAGCACCAGTGAGACTTGTGTTTACCCCTCCCCAGGGTTGTTACTTCTGAGTTCCCATTACTGGTTTCTGTGACAAATACTGTCAGCAGCTTACAATTTTTGTGTGGTATTTTATTGACAACAGCTGGCAGGAAATGGTCAACAGATTGTGTATTTGCTCCACTGTTTCCAATGTCTGTCCTTTTGGGTCCCATGAATTATTTTATTACGGATGAAGACATAATGGATAAAGTCACCCCTTCCCCTAACACAAATAAAGAAAGTTCCTGTATGAGTCCCCAAAGATTAGCATTCCTTGACATCTCTATGAATCATTCTTTCAATTTTATTTTCTTGTTACTGTACAGAGATTCTCCGAGTGAGCTGAGATTTCACTGGTGTTCCTTCTTTCCTGGGGCCTGTCCTTGCCTCTCTCTCTTTTTTTTTGAATGTTTTCCACAGCAGCGACACCATTTTATTTAAATTATTTATTTATTTAATATTTATTTATTTGTTTGCACCGGGTCTTAATTGCGGCACGTGGGCTCCTTTGTTGCAGCTCACGGGCTCCTTAGTTGCAGCATGTGGGTTCCTTGGTTGTGGCATGCGAACTCTTAGTTGTGGCATGCATGTGGGATCTAGTTCCCTGGCTAGGGATTGATCCTGGGCCCTCTGCATCGGGAGTGTGGAGTCTTATCCACTGCGCCACCAGGGAAAGTCCCCTTGCCTCTCTTATAGTCTCCCTTTCTCACGTATCTTGTTTTTCTCTGATGGAATTCATTGTTTTCTAGCTCTTTACCCAGGAGAAGCTCCCTTTCCAGATCCTGTGATGTAAAAGAATGTATGCAGAGATCAGAGGCAAACACCCCTAAAATCCTCTCAGGGGTGTACTAAACTGTCTTGCCAGCACTCTGACTAGCAAGAGAAAATGTACTTCTTGCATGGCTGCTAACGTGGGATAAATTAAGAATTTTTACAGGGGAAAGGGGGTACTGCACACTGTTTCATTTAGAAATGAAATGCCACTGACCATTATGAGGAAGCTGGCCTTCAAAAAATCTCCCACAAAGTCCCAAGTCTGAACACTTCCCAACAGGTAGAGCTGGGTTCTGAAATAGCTCTCTCTAAATAGTTTCTGAAAACTGCCTGGGGAAAAATAATATAACCACTTGTTAGTCCCTCAGTGCGATGGGGCGTAGACCTATATTACATTCAGTCAAGAACATAGGCATGCAAGATTCCAGTTTTAATGTCCTTGTTGGATCTTCTGTAGTAGGGCTTCTGGGCCAGTAAGAAATGACGGGTGTGTGGCAAGGTTCAGTGGCCACTTAAATGCTACAGGAGCCTTACTTCTACGCTGGGTCTATTAAGAGGAGGAACTAAGGCCACAGTACAAACTGTGGTGCTTCTGCCCTTTGTATACTCACCCTGGTTGAGGGGGGACCTTCAAGGGTAAAAACAACTCATCCAAGTCATTATAGACTAAAAAAAAAAATTTTTTTTTTTTGCATTAAAACATCAATGTATTTGGGTCCAAGAGGCAAAACTCCCATAAACTTTAAAGATAAAAACCTAAGAAATAGTTCGTTTATGGCTAGTTGCTTAAGGCTGACCCTCCAGGTCTCACAAGTCTACCTCTCTTTTCTGCAGTTCTAATTATTTGGGAAGAGAAATTTGAGACCGTGTTCTAAGGCAGGTGTCTGAAACATTTTCCTGTAAAGGGCCTGATTGTAAATATTTTAGGCTTTCTGGGCCTTACGGTCTCTGTCACTATTACTCAACCCCTCTGCTGTAGAGTGAAAGCAGCCATGGATAAGATGCAAATGGCTGTGACTGTGTTTTAATAAAACTTTATTTACCAAAACAGGTGGAGGGCCAGAATTGGCCTGGAGGCTGAGTTTGTTCTGTAGACCCATGTTTTCAGGCAACTTCCATTAATTCACTCATGTGTACATTTGACAAATAAATTGGACACCTGCCCTATGACAAGCAGTGTTCCAGGCAGGACTGGCTATATCATTTGTGGTGCCCAGTGCAAAATGAAAATGTAGGATCCCTCGTTCAGAAGTTATTGGGAATTTCAAGACAGTGGCAGCAGAGCATTAAATCAAGGGTGCTCCCTTTGTGAACCCAGGGCTCTGGTGTCCACAAAAGCCAGCCCTGGATCTAGGCCCCAGAGGTTGTACTGAACAAGC